TGAGCCGGGGACTGGCAGAATCAATTCATTTGCTTGTACAGCACAGTCCACGTCTCCATTTGGACCAATGCCAGATGACTGGCCGTCTGGTTCTCCGGCATTCCAGTTGGTATATACAATAGGATCCCCGTCAGACCACACCCAATTGCCTTCCTACAAGTGAATTGAAATGACATATAAGCACACTTCAGAATAATTGTGCCCGTCTTATCTGGAAATGATGATGAATATGGTGTGGTACAAATCTTATTGGTTCTCGCTTCAATGAGTACGATTCCCCCTTTTACACTTGAACGCTGAAGGGTGTCCGTCTGGTCACTGTGCGGTCATTTCTCAGTACAAGTTAACTGAGCTTTGAAAAAACATATCTATGACGTAAGCTTCGTGAAAGCTGCCCTCAAGTTTTGTAATTGGTGCAACATATTATCAAATCTCCACCGTCATTACGTTCACTGTTTACCTGACCTATGTAAACTATATTCTGATTTGGAACAGTGAATGTGATCACTGGAGAGAATGGAATGATATGACGCACAAGTCTCGCGGCTCTCTCGTTCCCAACGAGATCTCGATTACCGTGCATGCGTATACACGTGGTACTAATATAGTGGGGTTTGTCTTGTTCATACAATGTGCAGTTATTCGTAATGAAATAAGGGTAAACACCAACCCATGCTCTGTCGTTAAGACCAATCCAAAGATCATATTCACTGGGGCACACTTCGAGTATTTTATCGTTTTCCTGTCTACTGTGTACAGATGGTAAATATCCAGCATAATTCTGACATATGGTGTCCGCATCCGCCCACGTCTTCGGGTCAGTGAAACAACGATAACATGCACCGTCCCATTCTGTCCAAGTGTCAGGACATGACGTCAACACTGAGACAAGACAGTAGGAAACAAATTAATAGCATTGTTTGGCTGTACTGACAGGCTACACTGGGATGTATACGCATGGCAGACCCGGGGTAATACATAGAACTTGCCTTATGGGGACGTGCCCCTGAAATGAGTTCGTTTTTTTGATTTATGTATAAGTATCAGTCTTATTTCTGGTCAAGATAGGTATAAATATCGGTAATATTTTTCCGATTTGGTATTGTTGTTTCTCATTTAACAACCTAAATAATCTGAACATTGTGTTAATAATATGCTCTTATGTAAGTGACAGAGGTGTTTCTATGGTCAAAATACATATTTTAATAAATCAATACAATGCAACGACTGTAAGCTTACATGTGCTTCTATTGAAGATGCTCTTCTAATAGAGCAAATACGGTAACTGTTTTATTTGGAATCAACAGTGATGACAGAAATGGTACTTTGGTATATATATAAGTATGGGTATAGATTTTGCAACTATCCAGGTATAAAAATGGTCACACTTTTGAGCACTCAGGGGCACCTTCCTACCCAGCTATGTATCAACTGCCCCCGGGATTGCAGGCAGATGCGATCGTAATAGAAGTATATTTGAAAAGACGATAACTCGTTGGTTCCCCAAAATCCAACATGCACATTATCCGCAAAATGCCTAAGATGGCCCCTTTTGAAAGACAAGGCCAATCTCCGCCACCGACCATTCACAAAAAAACCTATGCAACTTTATTTTTGTTTCCAACAAGACAAGTAGTTAGTGTAAAATTGTGACCATTCAGTCCAAAATTAACCAAAGAATTATCGAAGAATTTATAAAAAATGGCAGGAAAATCGTGGCGTATTTAACACTACCCGTTTTCAACAAATCGCGCCGTCTAGCGACGAAACACTTCTGTGACGTCATAACATATTTGCATTATCGCATGTAAGCATTATTGTCCAACTAGGTAACTATGTCGGGTGGTGCATTCGTTCATCATTTACACTAAATCTAAGAATTCTAAAGAAAAACAGTATTGTTCTATTGACGAACGACCACGTGTCAATTGTCGAAGCTGGGAAGTGCCTCCCCCACACCCTTTTACGACACAAAAACGCTTCGTAGCGAGAGGGCGCTATTTATACGAACGGTACATTGTCATCAGAGATTAACGAATCGAACCCATTGGAACCTATTTCCTGTTATGTAGCTTTTACTGTATCGATGTAAATGAATTCTATTCTTGTAGACAAATCCTAACAATATAAATAACAATAATGCATTGGCTTTATTTAGATGTATTATATTATATATTAACCCCAGACTAATAATATTACTAATACTTGTATTAGTTGTCTGAGAATAACATAACAGAATATTACTAACCTGCGCTGGCAGTCGAGACTGTTAATGTCAAGATAAGAGTGAGCAACATCTCGCCTGTAAGAAAAACGCATTAGATTGAATGTCCATGAGATCACCTTTCTCGTTCTTGTGAACATAACTAAACACACATTACGTGAATAAATGATGACTAAATTTGATACGCTAATAACGTTTGTTACGCATCATTGAGCAATACATCATGTATATCTATTTTACGCAGTGCACCACGTTCTTAAATTAGGTCAGTTTTAGATTTATATAAACGCTATTGTTATTGCGTAACTGATTGATTGACTGGCTGATTTTAAAAAACAGCACTTTTTGGTCAGTCGCGAGTTACAACGTATATAAACAAATTATTTACGGTGATTGTTCACACATATTTAGTATTGTCGAGTATTCACCTAGCTATTACTAATTCCAAACAGTGTCATTGTCATTGCTGTGTTGATGAAGACCTGTGTCGATTTGTGTGTAATCGTCGAAAATCCGAAGTAAAGTTCAGTCACCTTTTCGCGTGTTAAGGAACCATTGAAAACTTTGGGGTAAAAAAACTGTGTATTTTTATCCATGAAGAATTCGATGTATTTGTTCCCACTATGTGAAATAGTTTTGTCTGAAATTTAAGCGTGCAGGTATTTGTTATCGTTGTCTGCAGGATTTCTTTTCTGAGCATTTTTTTAATTCTACCGCGCACCTTCCGAATTTATAATGGTCCACCCCTAAATCGAGATATTGTTTTTTTTTTCATTTGTTCGCAACAGACCTGAATCTACTGCTGAATCAGGAAAATAGAAAATACACCAATTAAATTGTTTACACTATAAATATAAGTGAAATGTATCAACTGTTTGCTTTGACGTTTACGGGGTTCATTGTTTACATATCCAATCTCGTACAACAAGTATAAGATGTTTACATGCGAGAAGTAAATACTACTGAGAAAACAACACTCACCGTGTGCGCTGTAGTTATCGATGAATAAGAACCACTAGTTGTGAAAACCGTCCAGCTGCATAAATTTGACTACGTCATAACCCTGTTATCGCATGTAACCCCTACACAGTGTTCCGTGTCAATATAGGGCATCTTTGTAAACATCTACTCTTAACATTGAAGGCTTCTAGCAGGTGGTAACAACAGATAACACAAAATTAATTATTGTAAATGATTCATAGTAAGATAATGCTACCAAACCTTAATGTGAGTATTCTACTACGAGGTCGTTAGAATCGAAGGCCGCCGAAGTTTATTTTACTTGCAACAAAGAAAAATGGATGCTGACCGCTGGTGGCGCAATATCTTGTTTAGACTTGCACAAATCGACAATCACAATGAAATAATCCAAGTCAGAGAAAATTCTACATTTCAAAACATTTAATTTTGGCATAATGTGGGGGAAAATCACATTAAATGGTAAATCAAACATTAAATCAACAAAGCCATTAAATGCGTTATTCATGTCAGCCATGTTGATGCAGTGAGCAAAACAGAGCACAGGACTGTACCGGTTATGTTCACCTATCATCCAATAATAAGTTCGTGTAATCGTAACATTATTTTGGATGAGTTTCCTGTTGTGCATGATCGTTAAAAGACCAACAATATTTTCAAATCATCGATTACTGCTATTAAACGTAATACTAACACAATAAAAAGGTACAATTAGCGATTAGAAAATCTGGAAACATAACTGAACCGTTTGTTGAACAACTTGTATTATCGTGTACGTTAGCATGTTTGGTATTTTGAACAAGAATGTTCATCGATATTCTATAATGATCCTGACGTCACGCATTTTGTGCCATTCAGTCGGACCGTTTTTTTACTATTAAGCGTGAATGATTGTAAAGTCGTGCAATGCTGTGAGTTTTATATAATGTGACAGTGAATCTTGCATTTGGATTAAACTTCGTCTACGGTATTGCATTGGTTTTTTCAAACGGGTTACAATCTGTTTATTCTGTTCGACTGACTGGACACGCCTGGAGAGGGATATGGTGGTCTCGTGGCACATAAATCAGCAATTACCATGACACCATTTTGAATTAAGTAACTGGCATAAATTGTTATACCCATCCACAAGACTGTTTCAAAATTCAAACCATACTAGCGTCATTAAAGATGCAATATTTATTAAAGTTTCAGGCGATATGCACTACATTTGCAAACAACCTACTTGTGTTTGTTTTGAGAGGTAGATGCTTGAACAACATTCCCTACACATCGCGCCCTCTAGTGACAGGCCGCTTCTATGACGTCAAAATAACATATATGAGTGAAGGCACTGCAGTTCGAATCGACCACAGTGGCGGCGGCACAGGGGCCCCTCCAAAATCAAGCTGAAACCTTTTGTGTCAGCAAAATTTGCCCCTCAAAATGCAGGAAATAGCGTTTCAGAGGGTGTAGAATTCAACTTTTTAAGGGAGAGCATGCCTCCCGACACCCTAGTAAGGCCGCGCCTTGGGCGCGAGGTTGGTGAGCAGATCTCGGCCCCCATGCAACATTTCGTGTCGCCGCCTCTGGAACATTGTGTTTGGCTGTCTCGAATGTCTCGAAAACCTAATCTTCTACAGATCAAAACCACATAAACGCTGTGAATGCCCTTCGTCTGCTTCGTGTCACCCTGTTTACGTCATAGGGGCGCTTCGTCACCATGACATTCTTATATTGAATTACAAACCCATTATGTTTGAGAAAAATTTACAAGATATCAGCGCTATAAATTAGGTTTTGAAGCGAAATAGCATCCAACCATTTGCAAACGTAGCTAAAAAGGACGCCTGATCTTTTTGAAATTCGTAGGTTTATTGGTATGGAATGCTGACTTGCTTGTTTATGTTTCATCTACAAATCGTGTGGGTATTTTAATGTACCAATCGTTATGTATTATTCAGAAAACTATAGTAGGTAATCGTACTCGGAGAACACTATCTGAATAGTATATGAGTGTGACGTTTTGGGGACTACTTTATTTGAGTGTGACGTTTTGGGGACTACTTTATTTCATGCGTCAGGATTCATTCTTTTGTATTAGTGTCATGCATCACCCGAACACCACAATGTATGTAAAAGCTAGGGTGGTTGGCCAAGTTCAAAATGGCGGAATAAACAATGAGTCAACTGTGAAATCTCTCATTTCGTGCGTTCCTGAGTCAACACATCACAATAAGTTAGGTAGCCCTAACGCGTATATTACAACATCTGTTCTAGTTACTAATTTACAATAGGCTAGGGTGTATGTTTATAGATTTAACAGATAATTTCGCGAGTAGCAGCCGGTACAGTATTACACGTTAACAACGTGAAATGAATACTCATAGAACTCCAATCTAAATGGACACACACATGTTAAACTGTAGCGTTCGTGACATGGGTCCGTACTGGTATTCAGTCTTCTGCAAGTCATATATATATTGCCGTCGATGGTGATTTGAAGATTGAATTTGATATTGTGTAGGTGTTAATACTTGTAATTGTGTCATCTTCATGATTTATTGTCTTTTCATCTTTACATTATGAGAATCATTATTGATTTCTGATCACACATCAATAAATGAGACGGAATAGGTGTTCGTACTTTATTTAATCACAATTAAATATAAGACTCATTTAAATTCATTCCTCTAAAATCAACATTCTTTCGTAACATGATGTTCCTGGTCTTTATTTAACTCGAAAACAAACCCTGGAACAAAATAATAGTCAAAGTAGTCGTTAGTAACATGTGTACACAATGTCTGCATACACGTTTACTTTTATCCGCATTACCCATAATGCTTAGCTAGTATGATAAGTTCCGCTTTCGGAAGGACCAGAATGTCTGTGTGTTGAGGTTATTTGCTCCATTTTTTTCTAACAACAAAGAAGGAAATATACCCGCACATATGTACTAACAGCACAACAGCAATTACGAACTAACTAACCTTAAGCTGTTTTTGAAATTCTAAGGCTTTGTCATTTTACACACATAACGCTTTTGATCACTACAATCGGCTTTGCTCCATTTATCGACTAAAAAGAAAACGATAGCATGATTACAGACATTGTTAGTCGAGGGACTGGAAGTTTAAGCTTTCTGGTGCTACTATGACGTCAACATGTGAACAATATACTACAAACAGACGATTGTATGATTTTATAGCCATTCATAGCCATTCACTATTCAAAATACGATAAATCTCTATAATAATATATTATTTCTTCCAGTTGATGTACGACAACAGATCAGAGCAATATCGACGATGTGAGCTGCGTTTTGTGTGCCTATTTACAATACAGATGTGCACAATAGCGTTGTTCGAGGCTTTTGTTATTAAACATACATATTCGTGCCCATATTATTAAAAACAACTTATGTGTAACGTTGATACAGCAGACTGTGAGCTAGAGCTGATCGGTGACAGACATTTGGTATCAGACATACGCATGCTGCTTAGAAATTGATTTCAAAGTGCGACAGTCTATATAAAAAGTCTATATGTTTCAAGCGATTAATTTCATAGGAGGCATCGCCTACCGAAATCACTCTTCACTTCAAACTGAGTACACTCTCCATTACAGGTGAGGCCACAATCATTGTCTGGTTGTCCCTCATGCCAGTTTGAATAAGTATAATTGCTCCCGTCAGTCCATTTATGAACACCAGTCTGCAATATGAATGTAGTATGATTGTGCGTTAGCTGACTATGTAAAACTATGTGGTGTTTTCAATGAATCTGCTTATTTACAGACTTACATCTAAAACGAGATGTTTTGATAATTTTATGTTCATTTTTTTCATTCGAGCGGTAAAACTTTTAAATTAGAATACAAATATCTTCAAAGTTTCGCCCTCCAGCGACAGGGAAAATCGGCGACGTCAATATGAAGTACTAGATGGTTGATGTTCAATGTGACATTTAGAATAATTGTAAATCTTTCAGTAACTTTGTTTTTGTTTATTGTCAGACGACTACATATTAAAACAACATGGACGTTGTAACCTAATTTACGTCATAAGTTCGACTTCTCGTTAGAGGCGCACCATAGTATAAGAAAGGTGTATAAGACGACATATAGATTATTTAACATCTATTTATCTTTTTATATTGCCTAAATGGTAATGTAAACACATATAAATACCGCGTAAACTATCAGACTTACCACTTCCTGGTCACTTAGACCTATCCACATATTATTCAGTCCACCTTGCATGACAAATACCCAGTCATTCTCCAGTTCATCGTGGATTGAAGCGAGACTCGAGAGTGCACCGTACAATTTGCAGTCTGCCTCCGCTGCCGCAAACGTCTTTTGACAGTCTATGAACTTGTAGCAATGTCCGTTGTAAGGATACCACAGATCAAAACAGGTGTCTGTTGAAAAAATTATGTTCACAGTATTTTATTGAAGGATGTTCATAATGTTCAAAAAATGTTGTGCAACAAATTTTACGCAATGAAGATAAATCAGTTGAACTCAATAAATTAATGTTATACACAACATAAAAATATCGCACACGATGGCAATAACAATGTAAATAAAACGATTTATCCCCCCCCCCCCCAAATTAAACATCTGTGAAATATTTGACAAGTAAAACAATTACACCCTTTTCTAGGGCAATTGTTTTACGTGTCTGTGACAGTAATATGACCAACACAATTTTAATTGTAGTGTTTCACTATTTCATGAATTCAAAGGCAAATCCAAATCATCACGGAAACCTTTGTATTTTGGTCTAGAAATGTAAATAAAAAGCACACACACAACTGAAATTGTTTCATAATTTGACTGACTTCACACAACACGGCTGCCCCAATCGAGACTTCGAACGTCGGATGTTTAGAACAGACATTACAGTGTTACGGTGGTGTATTTTATTGTCGGCATGGCATAACGCATAAATTAATCACTTGAACAGCTTTTGAAAAAAAATACAAAAGATTTAAGTGTTTAATAACTGGTAATGTGTATACTTTGACACGTAACACAACAGGGAACACGATACTTTACACAGACATATTATTATACCTTTTCATACGAAATCAATAGTACTATGCACATGAACATTTTTTTTACTGAGGACCCAGTTAAACGTATTACACATCTCTCATTTTGAAAGCGGAACAATACCATTACGTACCTTGTGAGTTCACTGACCACGTCGCTACAGCTACGAAGAGAAGAATCAGTAATTTCGGAAACATATTGAAGCAGTTTTTGAGTCGCAGATGGAGTTACCAAAAAAAACAACAACAACTATAGCTACTACGTGCTTGTCCTTTATTTGGTGTCAAGATTACGCGATGATAAGATCTGCTGACATTTAGTATAGGGCAACCAGGCGTGAAGGGTGTATATGTATAAGCATATGCAGTTAATGCACGGGACAACACGTAGTAAACGGATGTTAAATTATTCGATTCGAATCTGTCAGTTAAAATGCTTTTGCGAAAATTACGTTAAATGTTTTTCCGTGAATAATACCACTTTAAAATGAAATGCGTGAATGAGTCGTATAACACCCAGGGTCAGAGCCAATAATATCGCCACGCATTTTATTATCTATTAGGCGTATTATATGATCCAAATAGCAAACCAGAAAACACCATAAATAAATTAATTTGTTTTAAGCTCACGACGTGATGGCAGCCAAATGAAGGCACCTGAATGATGCTTGGTCACTTTCTATCCTCACCGCACGCTGTAACTAAATTCAGTCACAAATCAATCATGAAAGTGTTGCTCGTGTGAAAGTTCTTTCGTGAAAGTTATCAGAAAGTGTCATTGTGAACTACACAGTGAAACAATGTCCCGAGTCCTGAAAAGTGATCGTAGCAGACAAAACACTATAGTTACACCTATATTGCATCATCTGGTAGTTTTGGGGTTCACCATTTGGGTTAGCTATTGCTGCTCCGATTCCAAATTATTATTCCACCATTTTAAATGATTTTCAACTAACTAACATGCTAATATATTCAATGTACCAATTCAAATAGACTGTTGTAACCACCGAAATCCCTTGAAAATGCAGCATACCAGTAAATCTCATATGATTGTGAAATCTGCCAAAAAATAAAATAAAATTGCCCAAAATGAGCCACAAACCCATACTCAAAACAATTCCCGTCTATACATATGAATAAAATCAGGTTGTTGTCAGGATAACACTAAAATTGTTATGCAGATAAAGAACGCAATTTTGTCTAAAGATTTGTTTCTTCTTTTTCATTATTGATTCAGGAGGACAGGTGTTTTTTTGGAAAGTTTACAGAACAACTGCAGAACATATGTATCACCAGCAAGTCAACGAATGAAACACAGTAGCAGCACAATTATGTAAATAAGCTTAACTTGGTGTTATCAACTACTAGTATATTCGGGAATAATGTACCATGGAAGTGAACAATGCTGCAAATCATACAAGAATTACCTCCAGTGCTATCTTTTATTAATGTTACATGTTACAAATTTAATAAGTCAACCACTCACAAATATAAATGTATTGTTTCTTCTAACAATAAAGTTACATTGTCCAATTATGGTAAGCAAATACATAAATTTGTCATCAACTAAATAGGCTTTTATGTCTGATTTCTATATATTAACATACACTAACTGTAAATTTTCTTATTTAGACAGACGCTAGGCAGAAGTTAAATAACGCGAGTCAAACAAAACCGTCTACACATCTAGACACTGCATTAATAACACTGAAATTTATCTTCCGATCATTATAACGTATATTAGCCTAGCATACCAAATGAGAGACTATTACAATCACTCTTTAAATTTATTCACTATAGAGAAAAGCTTGTGTTTGCTGAACAGTTGAATGTGACTTTTGCTTTTGTGCTTATTTACTCTTTGATATTTGGTTTCTGTATTATCAACATGTTAGTATGCATCTATTATATTTGTTGTTTAATAGCTAACTCAACAGATAAGGTTATAGTAGTGGTATACGAGTGTGGCGTTTTTTGTTTCTACGGAATTAGAAAGAGATTTGTTGCGCTTATTGTGAACATGCTAACGTGTGTGGTTGTGAAAATTTAGATATGTCTGAACGCGTGCCAAATGATATATTTGATTTCAGAATTTGAGTGATTTTTTGAATACTGTGTTACACATGTTATATCATGGGTTTGTGGTGCTTTCATCGGTTTACAGCAGCTCGCACAGAACCTATAGAATGCACGGTACAGTGATGCGTTGCTTAGCAACATAGAACGTCCCGTGACGTAGCTCCGCCTGGGAACAAGTGCATGTGTCTCATATCAATTAGGGCTCATGTTTCATTACATGATGTAAATTTGTTTAAATTAAAGAGAAGTGCGCCAAAGGCGACTTATTCTGTCCTGTTTAATTCCAAATATCCTCGTACGTCATATAATTCATTCAGGTGTCGTTTCAACTATCACGCGAATGAAAAAGTACCACGTGATGATGACTGGCACCTGTCCATATTAACTTTAATTTCCACAATATCATAACCTATTTTCAGTGCAGAAATAATTAATGAATGTGAAATGAACACGTGTTTATCTCGTGGCATATTTAAAATTAAGATGATATGATATGAATTCAGTTTATCTTATCATACCTCCCCCCTCTCCCGCTGACAAAACTATGCTGAGTCACGTGTATCAAACTGAAAAACAATTACAGACAACACTGACGCTATGTTAACACTATAGAACACGATGTTCCTAACCACTGTAAGCAGAGGCGCATCTCAGTACGTCCGTCACACTAACCATTGCAAAGATAACTAGTAAAGAAGGCGGACCTACTGTGACAGGATGGGTGCCCGAACCAAATGTTTTGGTAAATAAATCAGACTAACATTTGTATATAAATGTCATGCTTAACTGGAATTATAATTATTACTACTATTGTAGCTCAGAAGCTGTTGTCATAGATCCAAATGACGAAAGACACATTAGTCGGGTTGACCTCGTTGATTAAGGTAAAAAAGCAATATCAGTCAAACTATCATAGTTGTGAAAAGTAATGGGGTACGATAGTTCGTTACACTATTTGTCACAGTGATGACAGCTACATACGCACCTAACCATACCTGTTTTCCCATGATTAGTTAATGTTTACAACACGCATGTCCATCAGATATAGTTATGTTAGTAATGGCAACATCTTTTGTGAACCCACACCGCTTTATCGGGCACCGACAGACAACATACTTCGCGCACCCACAGAAGCCTATTTGACAACATCCTTGGTGAACCCACACAACAATGTTTACACCATTAGAGAACATCTTTGGTGAACCCACACCACTTTAGCTTAAACCATTGGACAACTTTGGAGAACACATACCATCTTATCTTAAACCATTAGGCAACAACTTGTGTGAAGCCACATCACGTTATCTTACACCATTGTACGGTAACAACATTCTCGTTGAACCAACATCGCTTTAATTTACACCTCTGAACAACATCCCTGTTTAACCCACACCACCTTAACTTACACCTTTGGACAACATCCCTGTTGAACCCACACCATCTTATCTTACACCATTGGATAACAACCCCGCTGAACCCATGTCACCTTATTTGTCACCATTTGACAACATCTTTGCTGAACCCACACCACCTAGCTTAAACCATCAAACAACAACCTTGGTGAACCCACACCACCTTATCTGTCACCATTGAACAACATCCTTGGTGAACCCACACTACGTTATCTGACGCCGTTGAACAACATCTTTGTAAACCATTGGGAGGATATAGCAACGGGACATTTTTTAGCACCTGAAATAGTGCTCTATTCTCTTCCTCCATCACCCTCCATCTTTCCCCATTAAAAAAACATCTTTGTTGAACCCACACCACCTTTATCTTACACCATTGGACAACATCCCTGGTGAACCTAGATCACCTTATCTGTCACTTTTGCACAACATCCCTAGTGAACCCAAACCACCTTATCTGTCACCATTGGACAACATCCTTCGAGAACCCACACTACGTTATCTGACGCCGTTGAACAACATCTTTTTAAACCATTGGGAGCGATATAGCAACGGGACATTTTTTAGCACCTGAAATAGTGCTATATTCTCTTCTTCCATCCATCCATCCGGAAACAGCGGACACTATAACCTATGAACACGCTAGCAACGAGGTCCTTGCGGTCATTGTGCGTTAATTGAATGTGTTTGAATAAGGAGTTCACGAGTAAATTTAGAATAACTTTATTTATTGTTACAATTGATGTTCTGCATAATGTCTTGTTTACATAATGTAATTCATGGCGATATTATATTATATTATATTATATTATATAGCTGTAGAACATCCATAATGCCTAAAACAAAAACAAAAAACATTGTGATTATTGATGCTGATTGTTACATCTAGTTTTTGTATTTTAGGGATTTTTTTTTAAAATTACAAATCTCGCTCAGTATATTACTCGGGTAGTACGGGATCTCATTGTAAATAACACTTTCCAAAATGCCGAACGATTGTCTGTTGTATTCATTGCCATATATATAATAATGGTATTATTAATGTCATTCAAGACATATTTACGTTTAGGGTGTCAACAACGAGTAGGGTACATTGAGAATCAATACTCATTGTATTGTCATCATGTCTTGGAAAGTCATATTTTTCTCACATTTTCTGTATTTTGTTTGTAATGTCTTTGTTAACTATTGCCCCAATAATCATATTGTGTTATTAATAACATGTCTCGGGCATCATGAAACACTATGATAAAGACTTCCGTGTTTGTCAAATTGTTTCGTTTTTATGAAGGAAAATAAAATATTTTTTACCAAGTAAAATCATATTTATTTTAATTCAGCTGCTTTCAGTCACAATTCAAGAAAAATGCAACGCAAAAATATGGAGAATACACCTAATTTATGGTTTGTCTTTAATATTCACGTGTAATCAGTAATTGTGAAAATTATTTTTGGTGTGCATATGGAATAAATACATTTTCGTATAAAATATTCTTGATATATTTCTAAATTCACTTGTCAAAATCTGTTGTTTTCAGTTTCCATAAAAGCGAACGCATTTTACAATTTCAAAAACGGGAAATATTTATCGTAGTGTTATTATGCTGTGCTTTTTGTGATGACAAAATATGCGTTTGTGTGTCGAAGAGTGAAAGGTCAATACTAGGTTTTTGAAGTAGATACCATTAGATGTTGATGTACATAGCCTATTGTGGTAGCTTAATCGATGGTTGTTTGCAGATAAAACGTTTCTCGAGAGCACAATCTTCCAAATTCCATTTGTCGGCTGTAATAAAAAATGACAATCTGTAGTAAGATACTATATAATGTATTAATCATAGTGTTATAATTGCTCACAAAATCACAGGGAGGACGCCTTATGCATGTGGTCAGTGATGTGTTAGCATCCAATCGTATGTAAAATATAATTCATTGGCAAGTATTACTGTTCAACAGTATTCACTAAATGTTCAAAAAGGTTATAATTCAAGTGCATCTGATAAATGACAATAAACAATCAAATATGCACTTCATTTAACCCCACCCCCGACAAACATTACGACAAAAATTTCTTTTAATTAGCTACACTGGTGATCAATCTTTGTTTGGAGAAACATTTTCATGTAATTAAAGTATATATATTATAACACAAGATTGTTTCTTATTCGCTACCTTAAACCTGACATTGTACGTATACTGTTTAAAACAGTCAATCAACAAACATGCACTCTTACACTTTACGTTGCAAAAACCCTATGTGATATGGAGATTACTTTTTACCACCAAAAAATAAAATCTATACCGCATATTACAATTCAGTTTGCATCGAAACTAGAATACGATTTCCGCTAATACAGCGGTGTAACATTGTTTATATCTTATTCTTTGAAATTTGTGTTTATACTTATTAGATATAATACCCCATTGTCTACAGGTCTTGATAAAAAAAATATGAATAAAATTATCATATTTGTGAAAAGTGGAATAAGTTGATTTATACATAAAATACATTGTCCGAATCAGAAATTTATGTAATTGCCAATAAAACATTTCTCATACAAACATGGCAACAGCAGACTGGATATAATTGTAATAAAATAATGGTATTCAGAGTTGTTTTTTATAAAATTAAAATATGTATGATGACATTAAGTTAGCAAAAACATTTTAACTATAATTTGGCAGTTGAATCAAAGCATATATACATGGCATAAATTAATATATCAAGAAAACTGTCAACAAATAATTTGCTTATTGACTTATTAAAAGTTTGGTAACAAATCAAATTTGGTAGTGAGTTTCTGCAGATGATAAGATAATATACTTACAGTAACTTGTGTCCACTTGCATCTCAACACAGTCCCCGTTACACAAAAGACCACATGAATTATCCGGCTCACCTGGAAGCCAGTTTACATACGAATTGTCACTACCATCAGTCCATTCACCAACTCCTTCCTGTAATCAATGCGCTTCTAATTACTCTAAAGACTGCGGAAAGTGTGTTTGTTTATCTTCCGCAAATATATAAATATAATAAATACTCACATTCTGTCTATCATTCATTCCAATCCAGATGTCGTTTTGACCACCTTGCATGCCGTGAACAAAAGCGTTTTCTTCGTCGCTATGAATGGATACTAAATGAGCAAGTGGGCTAGCGACTCGACATTCGGTCTCGGCCAGTGTCCATTCAACCATGCAATCATAGAATCTATAACAATTGCCATTAAACATCAACCAGTTTGTAGGACACGATCCCTCGTCAGCTGCAGAAATGAACGTGATATATAAAACACCATATAAATATATAAAAATATATTTTCATATATTGACGGAATTCCGTAGTAAATTATTGGACTCGTGTCATAAACTACACGTGCATATATTCGAACAAAATCCATCTAAGCTCATCTTTAAAGAAACAAAAATTAAACAATGTTTTGTACACATAAACACATTTTGAAAATCAATTCGGGATATTTGACTTGTGAAATATTTCAATCAAAATTTACTTGAGAGATGAGAACACAGAACGCCGCGCTACCATGTCTACTGGCGTATGGCCTTAGTTCCACCTTTGTGAACACTTTGGCGCAATCAATACATGGTCTACTCACTTTCATATACAGCATAACTGGTACTACATACCACCAGAAGAACAATACACAGGAAGTATTTCATGATGAGAACGTCTTAGTATCAGCATACAGCATAAGCTATAATAAAGAACGTGACTTTGTGACTTGACATTAAATTGTCATCTCTGTCACTGATTTGCATGTATCATTTATACCTATCTCCAGATGCCAGATAACAACCTCCAGATAAACAATTCTATAATCGACTTTCCTCATAGTCAAGTGTAAACCTTGCACTTTAGCTGAACCAGCCGACGTCACTTGTACAAGTGTGAACGGTATAGTCGTTGATTTTGTACAGTTATAACATAAACACAATTGAGGTACATACGGTGAGAAGTGAAACAAACCAAAACAGTTGTCAATAACAGCTGAACCATTTTTTCTTTCATCCAGCATTAAACAGAAACAGTTAAATCCTCTCACAATTTAATGCAATATATATATTCAGTCACAACAAAATGTTTGTTAGAAGGCCATTGACCATCACAGTCTAGTAATTATATGACAAGGGTAAAAGCGGTCAAACTGATATTCTTTTGAATATCAGGGTGGTCGAGGTGACAAGGACTAGGTGAATTGTTGCCAGCATTGATTGGAGAAGGCCACCTATGACAAAACCAAATACGCTATGTGATTATTTCAAGTGAGAAAATAATTCAGTTTGCATATGTTAGTGTTAAACGCATGCCTTAATAAGCAGACCTAGAAACTGGCTAAACACGTCATATTTTACTTTATTATTTTGGGGAAAGTACTTATATCAATCGTGTACCAGAACGTACCATCTTCTCATGGGTTGTACGATTATGTGTTGACTTGTAGATAGCCACGATGAACAGATATTGGGGCGTTTTGAAAGCAAGCAGATTGTACTCTCTCTGTATTTTTCTCCTCCGTATTTTTTTCTTAATTTTTACGGGTATTATGATGTTTACGATTTTAGTTATGACAGTAACACATGGAGCTTGGATAGTCGTGCATTCAGTTGGTACATCTGTAGCGATCCATATTGTATTCTTTAAACGATAAAAGATTACAGATGATCACAGCTGCTTGCACCCACGTCTTGTCCTTTTTAGTGGGTTTAACTACTAAGCATATTTACAAAGCACAATATACAATAATGTAAACATACTACACTGAAAATGAATAAAGTGTTGTTGAAAATGTAGCAATATTAAGATTCATGTCAATAACAATATGCCAGGTTTTCAGCCCGTGTCGAACGTTCACGATAGATATACCAAGGTAAAGACGAATATTAAGTTTACCCAGTTTCTTTACAAAATTCCGACGCTTCTAAAATTGTGTTTGTTTCCTATCAGGAACATCTTTTGTCCTGAAAATGACATATAATTTGTTATTCAGTGTTCATATCTCTACCTTCCATCGACTTGGCTGAATTTGGAAATGAATATAGAATAATTAACACTCAACCCATGTGTTTATATATGTAGCAGCTAGATTTGTATGACCCACTAGGGAGTTTGACACGTTTCTAAAGAAAAAAAAATACACACACTTTTTTAAAATTAAACAACATTTATCTTGACAAAATTATTAATATCGATTAAATAAATTGTTAGAAGTCTAGATAACTTGAGTCCATTGAATATATACGCAGTTGGTTTATTCGAATCCAAGTCGAATCGGCGCCTGTAAAAGAAAAGATATATTTTATATTTCTAAATGTATGCTATATATATAGTAGATTTAGTAAGTTTATAAAAAATAAACATAAGTCACGAGTTAACTCTGATTGATTCATGATGTATGACGATACTCCCATGATGCACCTCATAGCTCATATAAATACTTTTAAGAACGACTGTTATATACGTGTGATGTACCAAGTGATTATACTACGCGTGTCCGTGGGATGAAAGCTGTGATATGAGTATATTGGCACATAAACTATTGTTATAGAGTCGAGAGAGAATACTGATTCCAAATTATGTAGTTACCATATAATGTAGAATATACAAATAATATCTAACACAACAATTTTTCCATCCTCTTAATAGTAATGTGCCTGGCTATGCAAATAAAAGTCGTAATAAAAAAATATGCGAGTTCACAACAATTTTATTAAGATAATTATTATACTTATAGGCCGTCGCACTGTGACGTCATGTGTAGCAACCATCATGCGAATGTGTGATGAAAGTCGCTCACTAGTGAACGCTGGCTCGCAATCTGCGGCGACAACATTGTCCAAAAACAAATACGTGAATATTCAATCACAGAAGCGCGAAGAACGCTTTTATTTCATTCTCGGAGCAGACGACCAGTCGCTGTCCACGCGCAAAACGTAAACAAGTGCGTCGGCCTATAGATCATACTGTCAGCCATGTCTTACAGCTACTTTTAATTTCACTGTCAATTGTTTCTATTGGTCGGCAATTATGTTTGGCGTTTGATTTGTGTTGAACAGTAATCATTGATTTATACAAAATCAAATTGAATGAGAATATTATCATGGAACAGTTCCAAGGATTCTCTCTCAATAGAGATCCATACTTCAACATTTGTTCCACATAATAAGTATTTGCTTACCAAAATATTCATCTGTTTATGGTCCGGTTATCCACTCCATCTTGCACACAAAACGATTTTTTGTTGTACAGTCTTCGTCGTTCCACTTATCGTCTTTATAAATAATAATAATTATAAATAATAAATAATAAATAAATAAATAATAATAATAATAATAATAATAATAATAAATAAATAATAAATAATAATAATAATAATAATAATAAT